AGCTTTTGACGGCGTGTAAACTTGACAATGCGCATTCAAAATGTGTGTTAGCGACAATGTGTAGTTTTATAAATTGAGCCTTATTATCTTACGCGGCAATAAATGCAATTTTTTTTAATCGGGTCAGGGATTTTAGGTTTCGACAGCACATCCCACCCAAACTTTTCTCAAGTTCCCTGACCTTCTCCTCCGAGCTCACTCAGGGAAAAGAAGACTTGAAACATGTTATTGTTCAACTGACTTTCTCTTGAACACAATACTGTCGGAGTCAATGGGATTAGACTTTGTTATTTCTCTGGTTCAGAGCGAGGTAACTATCAGTAGGACGCATTGATACCAGATTTTTAACGTCATAATGTGCACAATGTTGAAGATAAATATTTTCAAAATAGTTTAAGTAATTCGGGGAATGCGGCATATCTTAGGAAGAGAAACATCTAGGTTTTCCGCTCGAAAAAAAAGAACGAAACCTTATTGATAACGCGTGACATCGTGGAGTGGGCCTTTTGTAGTGCCATATGGGCCGTGAAGGGTTCACCTGCAGAGCCTCTTTTCGAGTATTATGATCAAGCCCCCCCTTTTCTAAAAGCCTGTCGGGGCATACTTTACCGTGACTACCTTACTGCGCAAACATCAACGTCTTTATCGATTTCAAAACGCTGAGATTCTGAGAAGATGGCATTGATAGCCAGTTTGATACTTATTACTTTGGGTAAGTAATGTAAAGGACAGTTTTTGTTCTACTCTCTGTTCGCCGACAAGCCTATGGTGCAGTTTCGCACTTTTGACAAAACAGGAATGCACTCGAGACGCGTGGAGACCCTGCCTGCGTTTGAATATTTCTTCCAGGCGAAGCAAGGCGGAGTATTCTATGATCAAAATTATTGCTAAGACGTCGCAATCCTTTCTTTCGGCAAGATACTCATCAACCGAGATCCACATTTCTACTAATGTACAAAAACTCTTTTTTTTTTTTTTTTTAATAATTTTTTTTTTAATCAACACTTCATATAAGTGTACACAGACAGTATTCTCCAAATACAGTCATGAAAACCATATACGTTACATCTCCCTTTCTTTAAAAAAACAATAAAACAACCAACAGAAATTGACTAAAAATCTGGCTAACTTAAGTTTACACAAAATTTGTTGACGCCGAGACTAAACTTAGTCCCCAACCGAACTTAACGCCTTTACTAACGTTTCATATGAAAGTCTTTGAATCTGGACAGTAAACGAGTACTCCAGGTTCATGTCTTCTGAGAGACTGGTAAAGCACTGCTTCTGCTGGATAAATCCTCCGCAGGACTTGCGAATGCTCAGCTTACTGGCTTAGGACTTAAAGATGTGGCAGGCCATGTCGTTGCCATGGGTACTTCCTTGTGATTGACTCTAGGTAAGGTTGTACCATCCTTGTTGCTTTGCTTGTCTTGAGCTGTAGGCTCTGCTGCATGTCTCAAGAACTGTCTATTCCTTCTGAGAGTCTGATCGCCTGATTTAACCATGTGGGACCTGTCTGAAAGTTTCTTTACGCAAGTACCTTGCTTCCACGTTTGATTCTTCTGCAAGGGTGCATTTCGGACTTCTTGTCCAATCTCCAGTTCAGGCAACTGTTTTGCTCTGCGGTCATTGTAATTTAAGTTAATCATGTTTCGGAAACCACTGGTTACGAATAACTTGTATGGTTCGTGTAACCGTTTTGAAATTTGCCAGTGCGTTTGCCAAAGTTTCTGACGAAGGATTAAGCTGTTTGACTGTCTATTCGTCTTTATTCTGGTCGAACGAATTATGTCTTAGGATCTTCCGTTAAACGAGCAAGCGGTCGAAGGATTCGAAAGGACTCGACAACCAAGTTCGCGCCTGTACATCAAAGGTGTTACGCGTGAAAGAATGCTTTCCCCAAAGACAAGACACCTTGGGTATTTGAGCAAGTTGTGCATAGACGCCGAATTATTGATGCGAAACCCCGAAAACTTTGGAGAAATTTGTGCTGAGAAGAAAGTTATTGAAGACGTGTTAGGTAGATGTATGCAGTCGTACAAGGAATATTATCAACTCGCTTTGGAACCCGAAACGAAGGCAGAAGCGCTTAACGATTACTACAGCGTAATGATCAGCAGAAAAGAGTTTGACGAACGTCTTAAAGAGTGGCTACAGACAGTTGAAAGGTCTCCAGATGAAATGTTAGTGTCTTCGCGTAAAAGAGAAAATATTAATGTTGTGGACCATCATGTTACGCTTTCACCTACCGACTCTAAAAGCACAAAGTCCAAAAGTTCAAAGGCTAGTTCGCGTACAAGTGAAAGATCGAGAAAGGCAAGGGCTAAATTACTTCGACGAGAAGTATCTCTCCATTTTTAAAGAAAGAAATCCCCCAAAATTTTTCCATTTGGATTCACAATCATCAGAAATATACTTTACTGTCCACGCGATCTTTAAAGACTAATTGAATTTCATGATGTCCAACATTTTTTGACCACCATGGCCATAGTCAGCAATCATTTCACTCATTACAGACCGTTTGATTTTTTCCCTTTTTCCATTCCAGAGAAATATTGAAAAGCAAATCATTTATTTTTTTAACTATTTAAAACATGTACGTTATGAGGACAAAATGTAGACCAATTGGGATGCAGCCAACGTCTTTATAACTGTAATCTTTCCAGGAAGCGTTAATCTCTTGTTTTGCCAATTGTTAAGAATATCTTCAACTTTGTGAATCTTGTCTTCATAGTTAGTTTTCATTTCTTCATTTTGGTTCGTACAAAACCAAACACTTAAGGCCTTGACTTTACTATCCGCCCATTTCAAGTTTTTTTGAGGGCACATAATTTGATTTGACCCTTTCTTTGATCCTATCCAGAGAACTTCGGTTTTTCTACAGTTAACTCGCAGGCCAGACAGTTGACCGAAACTGTCTAACAAAGCAAAAGACTTCTCAAGTGACGCTTGTGAACCATCTAATATCATCGTGGTGTCGTCCGCACACTGACTTAATTTACGCTCTACATTTCCCACAGAGATTCCTTTTATCTCATTGTCTCCACGAATAGCTGTAGCTAACACCTCAACACAGAGAATAAATAGGTAAGGCGAGAGCGGGCAGCCCTGCCTTACACCTCTACCTAAGCTAAAGAAACTCCCCGACCATCCATTATTTATTATACAGCTTTGATATCAGAGTAAAATAAATTAATCCAATTAATTAAAGAGGAACCGAAACCAAAATGCTCTAACGTTTTCCGCAAGAAAGTCCATTCAATAGTATCGAATGCTTTTCCGAAGTCGATGAACAGGAGTAATCCAGGAATATCTTTCAAGTGGGTCTAGGAAATAACATTGATCAAAGAAATATTTTCTGCAGTAAAACGGCCTTTCAGAAAACCGGTGTGATCGTGATCTATTAGATCCGACAACACAAACTTGAGACGAGAAGCGATCGCTTTTGATACAATTTTGTAATCACAGTTAAGAGGGGTTATGGGCCTCCGATTCTTCAATTCGTTTAATGCTTTGTCTTTTTTCGGGATCAAAGAAATGATACCCCTCCTCTGAGTTATGGCTAGTTTTCCTTTTTGATAATTTCTATTAAGGGAACTTATAAGAAAACTTCAAAGTTGCTGTCTGAAGAAATCCATGAAGTGAACACTTCGGCACCATCATCCTTGTGTTGCGTACTTTCTTCAGATGACTCTAAGTCAATTGGGCAACGAGTCATGCAGCGTTTAGTGTTAATTGCTCATTCTCTCAATCATCCTTCCTCTTCATCTTTTTGCGAGACAAACTGGTAGAAACAGTGGGTATTTTTGACCTGCTAAGGGAAAGTTTTTCGAATTTTTCTTGACCATCTTTAGATCTTTAGAGATCTTACTGATGTGTTCCCTCCAGGCAGAGTTGCAGGCCTTTTTTATGGAGTTATTTATCTTGCGGCAGGCCCGATCCTTTTGCTTTTCTTTTAGAGTTTCCTATTTTCTTACATGACTTAGGTAAATCGTGAGTGACCCATGGAGCACGTTTTCTCGTTTTTAGCTGGCGCTCCGCGATACACTCTTCTATTGCTGTAAATAATAAGCGAGACCATGCAGTCCAGTGGCTATCGATATCATCTCCCAAGAACGCACAATGCCAAGTATACAGTGCAGTAACAAACATAGAGAAGGCCAGTCTGCTTTGGAATAAAGATCAGTCAGTTTGATGGTCTTGTGCGGTTTATTAAGTATGGTCAGGGAAAAAAAAGTGTTAATGTTAGGTCGGTGAAAGGCTCTCCGACGATCAGGTTGTTTACAGTGTCTGCAGAAGACACAAGAAGTCGGAGATGTGTTTTTAATGTCATTGGTCGCCTTCGCTGTGCCCCCTCTTATCTTTATCCATTTTATTTAAACTTTGTATTTTCCATACATTTTTCCACGGAAAGTTGGTGACAACTAATTGTTGTATTTCTACATCAACTTTCGGAATAAATTTCAATTTACCGCGAATGCTGCAGAAAAAAATCCGGACCATACGCCCATTCCATAAATTTTTGGAGGACCTCGCTGCCGAGCGGCAAAAAAACCAGGCTAGTCGTTCCTCAACTCGTGAGGTTTTGTGCTAGTTTAGAGTGTTTACGTCGAGTTTTTTACGGCAATACCTTCATTCTGCTGTGTGCCTGAATGCAATTAAAATGTTACAAAGATAATGGATAATAACGAGAAGATTGATTTTGATTGTCCTACCAATAACACGAGACATGAGCGATGGCTGCTTGCGCTAAGGTGAGATGAAGGAAAGTACTTCCGCGTGACAAAGAAGACCAAGGTCTGCTTTCGACATTGTAGGCAAAGTCATTTGAGAAATTCATGCAACGGTAGGGTGTATTTGAAAGATAATGCAGTACATTCGAAGCTCTAATAGTGTCCGAAATCGCCAAGAAAATCGTGACGGAAGGCTCCAGCGGTGCGAGTTCCCTATCAGGCTACAAAAAAATCAAAGAAGACGAAGTCCTCCACGAGCGCCAAGATATGGTGCTCTTCAGATTCAGTGGAAGGAATTGTGACCTTGCGAAGACAAATGCAAATGAGCTGAAGCAGAATTCCTTGGTAGAAAAGCTGAACGAACAGATAGAGCCTGAAGACCTTAAGTGTCAACTTTTAAGCACAGAAAAAGAGATCCATGGTGCCGAGAAACGAAGAAATGCGCTAGAAAATGAAGGCACTGGTCTTCTTGCAAAGTTAAAAGCCGCGGAGAAAAACTCTAAGGTATGACCAAACGTGTGTTTGATTTAGAACAGTTTTAAAGTTAAATATTTCACTATGACGAAAATATTTTGTTCTATGCAGATTTTCCTAAATATGCTACCTTTGTACCTACTTATGAATTCCTCAACCCAGGTGATGATTCAGAAAACATTAGATATGGCTTTTCTTCTGAACGAGCTATACATTTCATATGGATAGATAGATATATATTGAAAATAGCGCTTTGCAGCTGAAAAGCTGAATTCCTTGTATCCAAAAAGGGTATGATAAATAAATAGATCATATCATCTCTCAAAGAAGATCAGAGAATATATGCTATGAATGTAAGTGAATGGTATTCCAAGCCTGAATACAAACACCGATAACTTATGATATGCTTTCAAGGGTTGCATTAGTTATGCTTACTCAAATTTTACTGATTAGAGGGCACATCTGGATTTGTTATTGTTGTTGTCATGCTAATTTTCGAAAAAAGAGTTCCTTTGGTGTTTGATGTTTCAAATTCTCTGAAGGAACATCAAAACAATTGCATGGCAGACAGTAGCGAGAATTTCAAATGAGATCTTGGGAGTGAAAGGATTAAATGAGGAACGGATTCACTTTTCCTTATTAATAACAATAACGTGTTCCATAAGCATACAACTTAAAAACGAATACCAAAATAGATTCGTTTCCGCAAAGATACTCTTCACACCTTTTTTTTTTTTACATAAAAAGCTAGACCTCGTGGCTTATCTCGATTCAAGGATAATACTAGTCTAACTAGAAACCCTGGAAAGTCTAAAAACTCCTAGAAGGGTCAAAAGTACAATTAAGTAAAATTAAGTAGTTGTTGACATAACCAGTTAACTTACAGCAACTGGTCAGAGAGCATTTAACAATATATTACAGAAAACAAAATATTTCATTTTGTACTTTAAAGACGTTTCTAGATGAAACCGTCCATCAATAGTAGCACTCAGAGACGAAGATCGTTAGTTAAAGTGGTTAGTAACGATTGGCTGTTCATGGGAGTAGAGAAACGACGTGTGATTTTACGTAATGTTTATTCCTCATAACCAGGAGACTGTCTTGCCTCCACCCCTCCCACTTCTTTTCCACCACTCACAAGAATTCACGATTATCGTGATTTTCTCACTTCATAAGTGCTCAAAAAAGAGTGTAGTCTATTGGAATGAAACCTATGTTAAAACAACCTGCCGCTTCCCCTAAAAATTTTTGTAAGTCGCGTTCATCTTTATCTCTGAACATGAAAGCATAATATGAGACAGCCATGATATAAGAAAGTGGCCCTAATAGTCGTTTCATCAATGAAATAATAGAAAGAGCGGAACTATCGTCACATCAAAGAATTGGTGAACAGAAAGGGAATCGTTTTCAGGCTCTATAAACTTTTGTAAACTGTTGTTGTAATGTTCTTGTTCTTTTTTTTCTTTTGTAGAGTGTCTTTCTTCAGTTCAGCAAGAACCTTGATTACGCGTTAACCTTTTATGAAGCGACTTCTGTCGTTTGAGAATAGGGTGTCGCTCAAAACTGTAGTTTTTGAGAAAATCTGTTTGGACACCGGCAAGCTGCTGCTCCAAGTTGCTTTTAAGGACTTCACAAGCTTGGTGACTTGCTTCAAAATATTTATGTGCTTCGTTCTTGCCAGTGTTACTTTTGTGCTCGAAATCCAAATGTAGAGAACACTTCTTTTGCAAAGTGACTGCAATCACTGGATGGTCGTCACCAAAAGTATTTTGATAAATATTTTCAGCTGTTTCCAAAGACTCCTTTGATCTATTAGCCAGATTTCTGCCTCTTTCAGCATCACTCTTTACCAATAAAAAATCTGCCTTTAAATAATCGCAATACCGCGGGAGAATGTTTAGAGCTGAACGAATGTCGTCATACGCGCTGCAGTAATTTCCCATTAGCATGCTTAAGCGCGCTTTTTCCTTCTTTGTTAATGCGATTTGTTGTTCATATCGAAATGGATAGCTCAAAATTTCTTCTGCTCGGAGTAAATCCTTGTTTGCCTGCGAAAGTATTTCTTGGACGCCCACCTCGTCCAAAGGCCAGCGGAATTCATAGCTGTCTAAAATAATTTCGGTTTTCTTCCTGAGAAGTACGGCAAATTCGGAGTAGGACCTAATTTCTTGGCCTTCGGGAAAACCAAGTTCTGCCTCTTTGAGATATTTTTCAGCATTGTCACACAAACCAAGCTTGGAGCAAGCGTGAGCCACCCGAACTGTACCCATCCGCACCTGAAATAAACAATACACCAGACTTGTTGTTTCGCCTATCAATTTTAACACGAAGTCACCATAATTTTTATCTTTATGTTGTTACCCTACTTGGAGAAAAGGCGTTTAGTTACCTGCTTATCGAAATCATAGGTGGAATCAAAATTTCGTCCTTGCAATTAGAAGCCCCGGATAGTTGGGGAAAGGGGTACAAAATACCAGGGTGTTCCCTTCATTACGGTTGAGTTGAAATCTGTTTGCAAAGGAGTGGAGAGAAACTGGACACATGTGTTACGACATAAGTCCTAATCGAATTTTGTGAATAATCTAAATTTGTCTCAAAACACAGCACAGATCTGAAATTCCAAAATCCGCTTACTTGTTAACGTAAGGGTGTGAAGGTAATTTGAAAAAATATTAAACTTTCGGGATCATGTTATGAAGAGGCGATCATCGAAACAATTCGTGGAATGACGAGTTTAATTAAACTTTCCAGTTAAATTTGCTGGTGTGTGGCCCTTATGCCTCTGTATGCACTCGTTACCTTGGGAAGAATTACATTTTTCAGGATATTTAGTACGAGGTGGAATCAGGTGTTCGTTTTATTTTGTTTCTCCTCGCTAGGGCTAAATATTATCATTTCCTTGGTATTTAATCTGAGGCTCTATCTTTAAGTGGAACTGTATTTCTGAAAATCTATTTTTTTCCCAACATAAGGAGTTTTCATTTTTGTAAGGGAAACGAATCATTGTCACGAGTTTGAAGAACTTGGTTCCCCCATTGTGTGTCAAGGCATCAAATATGTTCAATTTTCGCTCATGTTTTGATTCTAATGTTTATCAATATTTATTAATATCTCTTGTTACACTGGCTTGAAAGCCCAACTTACAGTCTTAATTAGAAATTCGTGGTGCTGTGGCTATTTTCTCTTAGTGCCGCGATCAACTTCGGCCAAATGTCTCTGATCTTTTAATTTCAGGAAATTTGTAAGGCTTCGGCATCTTTTTACGCAATACTGCTTCTGCCATAGTGAAGAGAAACTTTTTGCTGGCTTAGATAGATGGATGCGTCTGACAGTCTTAATAGAGTGATTTAGCAGGCGGACAGGAACGTCATTTCAGAATGGGAAAGGGCGCGGATAGTCTAGACACAACTCTATTCCGACTTCCGTTGTTGGCGTTGCCGTTCTCCCCAACAAGTTCAGGCCGTCACTTCGTCGGTTTTCCCATCGCGATCAAAACGCCTGGGATCAGCGTAAATTGTGCACTTATGAGCGAGATGATGCTGTTTGGAATGATTTCAGAACTCATTTCCAGGATAAACAGGTTCCTTTCTTTGTCTTTTTCGGCGTATTTGTGAAAATTTACCGCTACATTTATGCTGAATTCCCGAAAGGAAACACGATCGTTAGGAAGCGATCCAAGATTTTATCGTGAATTAATTCATCAATAAACTTGCTTCAGGTTTATCAAAATGAAATATCACGAAGCTTACCTACTGCATTATTCAGTGTTATTTGTTGTCATTGTCGTTTTTACCGTGATGAAAAAATGTTTTGCGAATTGAAGTCAAAAAAGAAAACTAACAATCAAGTTGATTTCGGCACAGATGTCTTAATCTATTGATTTGATTCAGTCTTTGACGACGTTGATCGTTAGAAAATATTTATAATAAAATCAAACAACGACAAAAAGGAAAACAGGAACGAAGTCTTATTCTTAAGTCTAACCGTTTCGTTGGTAACTAGTTTGAGTTCATTTCATTCTTTCATGGTTCAACAGGAACTCATCTTAAACAACTCCATCGTTGGGTCGCTTGGTTTCTACATGGTTTCGCCATAACTCATGGTTTCGCCATAACTCCTCAACCCAGTTTCTTACCAGTATTTTTGCTGCGCGCGCCGTTGTCAAGTGACGTTCCCGTCCATTGCTAAATCACTCTCATTGTCGATAGACAACGGCTTTCATACAGTATGATAAGCTGAATTCGACATGCAGGAGGACAGACACATAGATGACCGCACCATTTTCAACAGTTTGCTTACTATCATGTAAAACAAATAGATTCCATATTGCCGTAGATCTGTACAGGGACAGTTCACTAAGAGACGTCAAAATGTGGCGAGAACATCAGTGACACAATCGGCTTCGCCTTGTTTGCCACTGTTTTGTTCGTTATGAACGTCAGCTGTGATCTATTACTGAACAAAGGCACGGCAACGTGAAACTTATTTGTTAAAACTGAGCAAGTAATACAGCGAAAAAATAGCTGAAAAAGGTTCCTTTACCCATAACCGGCGGTACAATTCAAGAAAAATCGACAAATTGTTCGAAAGGCCTACTATTGATGTATATCGTGAGATAAGTTTTCGTATTTAATATTCCTAGACATGCGCAAAAGTTTTGATTCCTTAATTACAGTATTCCTGAAAAGGGCTCCTTCCAAACGAAAAGGAAAATTCACAGGCCATTGTACTTCTACGTATCATAAAAATCTAACTCACTAACTATGCAGTGTCCTTTGGCTTACCTCTCTATGTTCCATGGTATCTCCATGCGTTTGTTTGTAGATTTGGAGAGCACGGTCTGCTAAATCTGCGCTTTCGACGGTTTCCCCGAGGATTAAGCAGACCTTGCTTAGCCTCTTTAGAGAATTAGCTCTCTCTTAAGGGAAAGAAAACAGCTGTAAGTGTTTATACGTCATCTTTGATTTTGGAGTCTACTATGCATTGATCGAAATTATTACAATCGTTGGGGAATCTCTCGCTATCGCAGTGTTTTGCGGGTAAGAAGACCCTGATTTTAATTGTAACAAAATAATTGCACCGGAGACTAAAGAGGCGAGATCTGGGGGCTTCCTCACATGTCCTTGGTTTAGCATCTTATCTGGGTCGAATCTAGTCCTGGTTGAAGGGAAACCCCTCTCCTGTCAATTTTTTTTTAATGATTGTTTACACAAGAAATCCGTTAGAGGAAGACAGGTCGTTATAAAAGAAAAAAAAGTCCTCTCATTCGTCATCCTTAAGTATGAAAGATGCCCTAAACTCAAACCATTTCTACGATTCAAGAGCCGTTTGTGCAATTCATAGTAACAATGTTGCTTATTACCTGGGTGAGAGCGAGAGTAATGGTCCATAACCTTTAAAGCGTTTAGTAGCTCTTTCTTGGCTTGTTGAACCATTCCCATCTGTAGGTAGCCATACGATAAGTAATTATAGCTGGCGGCCACAATGCGATGGATACTACCGTGGATCTCCTTGTTGATATCTAAGGCCTCTGTAAGACTTTTCACTGCATCGTCTACATCTCCCACATCACTCAGCGCATGTCCAAGATTTAACGATGCTGTAGCTCTAGCTGTAACAAAAAAAGATCTCGAGTTCAAAACTTCTCAAGGATTAAAGTAACTAATGTAATGAATAGTTCAACCTCTTCGTTTTATTAATAACAAAAACAATAACATTGTGGAGAATACCATGAAAATTAACAACGACTTACCGGGATGACTTTTTGTGCCACAATGTTCATCTACAATTTTTTTAGCTTTCGACGCAAACTGGAAACTTCTTTTAAAATCCCCTTTGTCACGGTATACCACACTCAGCTTTGATAAAATAACAGCACTGTAAATGTTGTTGTCTCCAAACTTTTCAAGTGCAGTTTCCAAGGAAGCAATGCTTTCATCTAGTTTGTCCATATTTCTTTGCACAGAGGCCAAACGGCTGAGTGTCACGCCAATCTGAAAGGTAAGGTTTTTAGGTTGAGACCATTTAGTCACCTGATTTGTTTAGGCCAGATAATCGCAACCAGTTCGATTTATCCTCATCGATTATGTTTAAAACAACAGTGAATAAGAAGAATCTGATGAAAATAAACCACGTGGTTTAAGTTGGCCGTTGACATATTATTCTTTTGATTTTTTTTACTCTTCCCGTTATACTTTTATCTCTTAGTGCCATTTTGTTCTGATACCACCCAAAGGTTGCGCGTTTCAAAATTTCTTCGATAGATACATGCAAAAAATATTGCAAGTTCTCTTGCAAGTTCTCTCGCATTAGAGATTTTCTCGGGGTACATGTTTCTTGCCCCCCCTAAACGACTGCGGTGAGAAAAATTAGACAAGATAATACTTGTTTACTAAAAGCATACTTCAAAAGCTCGAAAAACATGAAAAACAAACTTCCCAATTCTCGTGGAAAACATGATTTAGAGTTCAGTTTGTGTATTACGAGTCTTGTATGGAATATTCGTGAATTGTTTCCTAAGTTGATAAACAAGCTCTTCGTTCTCTTTTTCAATTTATCTGTCCCTCTTCATATTGTAAAATTTGTGTACGTACGTAAGCTATTTACCAAAGTTTCGTTTCGATCGTCGTCATTCTTTCCCACCACAATTTACATCACGAGTAAGCCGCAACTCTTACATGAAATTCTCTTAAGCTGAGCCACTGTACTTGTAATATCTACTCAGTTTTGTACCTTTTACACAACTCGTGGTAGTTGGTAACTCCATTCGAATAGTCTTGCCATTCTATCGCGGACTGTTTCACAGGTAGTTGCGGGTACCGGTGCCCATGCTTGTTCTAGCTGCTCACTTAGTTACATTCACTGCGCGCCTCTGATTTTTAATTTCGTAGCTTGGTGAGGGAAACTAGTCCGTATTTTTAAGATAATATCAATGAAGGATACTAACAAAGCCTCCCGAGGTAAGCTGTTGCAAAATGTGCCTTTTCGAGCATTTCTTTTGATTATATGTTACCAGCGACCAACCAGTGAAAAGATATGAAAATATAAGGTTATAAAGAGGCTAATAATGGGAAATGTGATAACTTATTTACCCTATCTTAGGGGATCTAAATCGACATCTTTATCAAAGAGCGGTTTTCTACAGGTGTTGGAGGCACGTTTTACATTGAGGAATAAGAAAAACTAATATCATTCTGTAAGTCAAGATTTCTTGTTTGTACGATCTCGCAAAGGATCTTTCAACGCTCAATATTTCATACAAGTTTATCACTGAAAATTAATCGGACTCCGTTGATATGCACATTTGAAAACTTAAGCAAATTAAATCGGCAGTTACTGTGTCAACATCGTATTCATCGGTTTTTTGGTACATTCAACCCCATATTTAGAGGCGAATCCACAAGCGTTCAATTACGACATATAGGCCATGAAGTAAAGATAGGGAATACGCCCACTTAGTAGTAATTATCGTCTCTGAAAGTCTTCAAACTCCATTGTTCGTGAAGTTTTCCTCATTTCGTTGGGAAGAAAAGAAATAGAAATCCTTTGTACGTGCGCAACAAATCACTGAATAACAATAAAAAAGGATAGTTAAATTCTATATTCTATATATTACATTTGAAAAAACAATTGGAAGAAACCGGTTTATTGGTTGAGGAGGTTAGCATGTTTTAGCGGCTTTAGTTTGGCTAAATAGGAGGCGCTTAACCTCTGCTACAAACGCCATGGTTCACTGTGTTTCTAAGATCTCTCAACAATAGCTTATTGAAAAGAGTCACAGCATGATCCTGATACGTATTTGTCATTGGTGAGATTTGTATTTGAGTACCACCGGTAGATCTTAAGTTCCTGGATGGCTTTTTATACGTCTAAAGCGCAAATACTCAGGCCAAAACGGTTTATACAAGGCTTTTTGTGCTAATCTAAGTTGGTTGGTTTCTTTATTCTTATACTGGCAATTAATTGAGGGACAAAACGTCATCTGAGGTTGTGCATCTCCTCAGAGATATTGGCGCAACAAATATTTTATGGTTGGATTAAGTCGAGCCTTGAAGCTGTAAACTTTTTGCATACATCTTCAACGTTTATTACTGACCAAATCTCAACAGGGCCCGCCACATCACCAACGCCTTAGCAGTCATCTGAAGGTACGACTTCAAGTAGTCATCCCACCTCCCAAGCTCTAATTCGAGCAAATGCGTCTCAGAAAATAAATCACTTAAAGAAATGGAGTATTTCAACTTATAAATTTGCCAGGCAGTATCTTTCTGAACGTTTTGGTAAAGGCACAAGGACTGTGGACAAAGAACTTGAAGGACAAATTCTTCTGGTAAAAGAAACCCGAGTAAAGCAAGTTAATGTTCTAAAACTGGCAAAACAGATGACTAACCATTTACAGAATATGGTTCAAAGTCAAAGAGGTCTTGCCGATGCCTTTGCAGATTTAGGGGTAAAATCTCCAGAACTTCAGGCCGACTTTAACTACAATGCTGAATATCAAAGATTACTGGTTAAAAATGGAGAAGTTCTTCTTAGAGCACTTAGGTTTTTTTACATCTAACTTGACGACTTTTTTTTTTGGGGGGGGGGGTGTATCTAGGGTCAGTGACATAGTTATCTAGGAGAAGTCATCGTAGGTTTAAGTATCAATGTTTCATTAATATGAGCAAACAATTGTTGTGAGGAATGCCCTTTCAGACGTTGCATGTAGGCACCTTAAACGCTTATTCCACGCAATGCGCCCAAGTAGGAAGTTGGATCAGTTTTGCTATCTGTTTCTTTAATCTACTTCCTCAACAAGCGAAAGTTATGCATACACATTTGTTACTCTTTCAAAATGCAAACACAGCTTACTTTGCTAGAAACAAAGAGGTCCTAAATGACAGTATGAAGGAATTACATACCAAATACAAGAACGACGATGGCAAATAGCCATTTATCCTGGAATATTTAAGGCATGCCACTAGAGCCAGAATCGAACTTGGAGCATCGTTACGCTCTTTTTATCACATTGCCGGAAAGTTTATGTATTGGCAAAATCAGTATTATTTTGGAGGACGAGTGCAGACAACTATCTTACATCTTAGATAAGGTGGAGGTGGAATAATCCCCATTCTCAAAAAGTTATGTTGGAATAACAATTTATCATACGTCTGTAAGTCTCCCAAAACGTGAACCTTGAAGACGTAATAATCTGGCGTCAAAATATAGTATTAAAGGTTATTCTAGTGTTGTGTCCCTGTTTAACAAAGAGTCTTAGCGTGTAATTAACCTGTGGGGCTTCAAGAATGAAATGAAGCATCGAGTCTTTGCAAGAGTTTCCAGGCAGAATTCATCTGTTCCACTGGTTCATGAATGTTATAAGATCCGGAACATATGAGCTACCGGATGATATTATGAATGTCATTCGTAGACATATGGATCAACAAGGTTCAATACCGCACTCTTACCGCACTCTCATATTAACTATCATGGCCCGGAGCCTAATAAGTAATAATGTTAGGGAAGAGAAATTGTGACGAGGCTGAAAACAAGCTTAAACTAGAACGTAAAGGTAAAATTATCGCTGTGATCTCTAAGTAGAACATTACCCTTAGTTCGCTTGGTGATTCGACGGATTCAAAGATTTCGAGAGCCATCTTTAAGTAGTCTTCTGCTTCAGCATACTGACCAAGGTAGCGGTACGAAGATCCTAATGCACTCAGGGTGAAACCATATTCCTTTTTGAGGTTTTCTTTACCTAAATAAATCTTCAAGGCTCTTTGGATGAAGTTACTGAAACAAAAGTGAATTTTTTGATACATGAGAAAGAATTACCCTCGAATATTAATCTAAAACTTAATCTCATCAATAATGTCAAACCCCTCACAGATCTCCCGGACCAGCCAGTGATTTCCTTAGTGCCCTGCTTGTCATCACAAGCTATGCATTCTATCCACACAATATTTAAACAGGGAGAAGAATAGATTTTCTCTCTAGAATTGATGAAGTTTTATATTTTCATTGTGGCTAACTTGGGTTGATGAACAAGACAGTTACTATCAAGAGTGAAATTGTTTGATTTCCGTTCAAGCAGTTTGAGTTTTTAAATGTGATATGTCCTCAGCTGCAGCGTCAGAGGGGAATCCTCAAACTGGCTTCTTACGGCTTTGAAGAGAAAATTTAAAGATTTAGATCTTTAGATACCAGGAATATTTTTTTAATTTTAAAGATTGCTTACATTTTGTCGTTGTTGTCATTTGTTGTCATGGAAGTTTTTGATACGGTGGATCGGAACGTCTCGTTATGATCATTTTATTGTGAACGTGTAAAGATTGTAGATCCGGATGTCCGATAAAACTTTGTGCAACGTTCGACTTTAACTTAAGCAATTTTAACGTAAGTGGTGCTTCGTCTAGCAGCTTGTTTTGGACATTCTGTCGAGCGAAACACCCCTGCTTTTTCGACTGCTTTTTCAAATTTCTCTTCATTTTTTAAAATTAAAGAATCGCGGGATCTTTTGAAGATGAATTTTGAAAATAACTTACTGAAGGTTATCTCTGGGCAAAATATGAGCGATTTGCCAAAATGGTCGTAGATGGATCGGAGGCAGCCAAACTTTTTCAATGTTAAAATTGTCCAAATTAACTTCCTTCGATACTTACATAGCTTTGGTATGTCTTCCCAGTTCGTTCATTACATTTCCAAGACTTCGTAGAGTCAAAGCAATCTGTGGGTCATCCTTTCCTTCGTAGTACTGTTCTTTCTCTCGCAAGGCTTCTTGTAAACATATTTCTCCTTCCCACGGGCTCGCGAGGTGACTATAAATTCATAAATTGACCCATAAGACTTATGATATTGCGAGAATCTGTGCCTTTAATTCGAACCCTCAGTCGAAATGCAACTAAAATTCTAAACTTGTGATAACGTATCCTAACTGCCTAAGCTTAAACTGACTGGCTTTCCTCTCTTCCTGTGTACATCGCGATCCTCAGCAAATTTACTGACCTGACACTCTGATTTATCCCGGTAATGTCGACGCTCTTTTCCACACTTAAAATTGGAAATCTTGGACCAAAAAAGGAAAAAAAAAACCTTTTCTAGACAGGGAAAGAGCTTCTGTTACGTGTTGGTATATAGCATCGGTATCCTTCACAAGTATCTCACCAGATTTAAATGACTACTATTATGCTTTCGTTTTCGTGAACAAATGTAATCCGAGTTGTTATTCTTTGTGGAGATATTATAACAGCGACCTCTTGTGGCCGTTGAGGCTGAGGTTCAATAACGTAGAGAAGTGTAATCGTTAAAAATATTCTTTTGTGTATCGGGTCGAGTTTTTTCTTCATATTGGCATGCTCAGCATTGAATAAAACAAACAAAATAACCAGCAATAAAATTGGCTGAACAATATTGAATTTCGGTCAGGCATGAATTAATGTTATTTTAAGCTTTCGCTGTCTATATGATGATTGAATTGCGTCTCAAAAACAAGTTCCTTTTTTAGAGTAGAATAGTGCTTACGGTGGAGAAATTCTATTTCCGTATCAAAATGAAGCAAACTGGATTCTTAAAATTTAAAATGAAAGCACAACAACGAGCACTTTCCAAAGACATGATGTAATTATGCGAAGTATGTTCGTAAAATGAATATCTATGATGACGGAAATATGTTTGTTAAATTTATTAATTTTGATGTTGAAAGCTATGCTTAAGCTGGTTGCGTGCAGAATATGTGGATTCAACTTATACCTGTTGCTGTGAGCTTCTCCCAGGAAGTGCCACACGTTAGCCAGGTCAAGTTGCACATTCTCTTGGCCTTCATAGTTCTTGAAGAGGTCTAGAGCAATCTTTAGGTCCCTCCTTGCTTCTTCAGGCCTGCTAAAGATGAGCGAACCTTCCCCAAGACAGGCATGTCCATTAGCCATGACGAGGGGGTCGAATTCTCCTTCTAGTTTCAACTTTTCCTTGAGCTGTAAGGAAAAAACTTTTTTTTTCCAATGTAATTTATTAATTAAATGCATCATTCACCCCCACTCATCTGCATTTGGCCTTGTCCACGCAAGGCCACGCCTGATTGGATTTAATTTTAGTTTAGCAAAGATGTCCAAGCTGTGCATTTCCTACAATCCCTCCGATCGAATTTATTACTGGGATACCTGTGGTAGCCAAATCATAAAATACCTTTGTTTTTTTTGTCGTTTTTTTTTTTTTTTTTCCGCCACAAAATGGAAAAATTGCGCAATGGTACCTAGCGGTCATTGGGCCCTCAACAGCATGACAACTAACTGTGATCCAATGAGGTGTTCACATGCTGATCACGCGTGTTATCTTGATAATGATTGACGTTGTCATGCACAGACAGGGCCGGGTCACATGACGAATCACGAGATTTTGCTAAAAAAACTCTTTGGTCAGTTGTTTTGTATTTCAACATATTTGGATTGCGATCTCCTGGAGCATTATGGCGCAAACGCGCAAAATACTTACAGACGCATATACAAGTCGTATTAATCGCGGCTAATCCACACTGAAAGATGTTATTGAGCGGTAATTTTGGAACGGATTGAGTCGCGAACGCTTGAAAGCCATGAAAGCCTTGAATGCCTTGTATGCTAAGTATGCCAATGTCTTAGTTGAAAAACGTTCACTTGTTGTAAAAAGCAAAATCTGAAATCTGAAACAAAACTGCATATACTCTATGCAATCTATTGAACAACGCTACTACCGTGAGACTGAAGAACATAACTATTATGGATGCAAACTGCTTTTGAAGAAAGACGCCATGTTGGATTCACTTGATGGCAAGGAACGTAGCTACGATAACAGTACGAATGGTATTAATTTCACGATCAGAAAGGTGAATGAATCACCTTTGTCTACTTGTAAGTCTACTTGCAAGCGCGCAAGCGTTACGACCGATCACGTTAACTCAACGTTTTAGGACAACTCGGCATCTAATCTCCATTCAGTTGCTGTGAAAACCTAAAGTTCTCAACGTAGAAGATAAACGAACGAAGTTTGAACTGTCAAAAGGAGATCTTGGTCAATTCCAAGAATCATGCTAATGATATTTGACACGAGCGCAATTGAGCAAACACATGGATTTGCGTTGTTTCTAAGAAGCTGGTGGATGGAAGCTAGAGATATACCCGCGGGTTTGAGGCAATCCGTGATCTCATTGGTGTATAAACTATGTACTGATATGCTTTTTCGGCCCGATTAACGCCTGCATTTTGAGAATTCTTTCGTACAAAGTAGTGAATTTTTTATATGCAAATTAAGGTCGAAGAGCAGGGTCTCCTCTGATTACGCTGCTATGATAAATATTTCAGCTGAAGTTTCCATATTTTGTCTGCGAACTAACTGAATACACCTTGTAACTTGTAGCTAGATAGAATTCCGTGAGCTACATTGTTGCAGTCGCTGCGCGCTGGACAAAATCTTTGAAATTGACACTTTCGATCGCTGTTCACAGAGGTGGTCTGGCCAAAAATGATTTTTGGCTTGTGGCGACGCAAAAAAAGAGAATTGGAGAACTAAACTATTTTTGAAACATGTGTCCTAAACCCTTTTCATGGGCAAAAAATAGAAGGAAACTTTTTTCCGACGGGAAGTCGAGAGGACCGCTCTTAGCGAGAGTGGCACTTAGTTAGCAAAGCTGTTAGCTCATTAGAGGTGTATAAAACGTATACAACAGGACAACTTCGAATAAAGACTGTATTCCAGAATAACAATATACAAGACAGCTTACACGCATTCCTTTTCATTTTCCTTTTTTTTGAGTTTTCATCAAGAGTTCAAAGTTCAATTCGTGGGGGGTAAGAAACATACAAAAATCCACGTGACACTCTCGGTCCAGTTTTCATCAAGAGGCCATATTGACAATTTTCTTTGAAATTTTAAAACTATGACATCGTTACGAACGGGAGACAACTACGAAGACGTTTGTACAATAAAATCCTATCCTTCATTTCCTCGCAATGGAACACGCTAAATTCCTTAAAGAAAGGCGATTTACTGTGTCACTTGTGGTTTTTGTTACACTTCATTTTCCCGGTAAATGTTCAAATCAAAGTGCTCTGTGAGCACACTCATGAATTGACAGATGACTTACATGATTTTTTGGATTATGTTTAATGTTATCTGGTTTAGGGAATTTTGTGGTTGATAGTCATATTTAGAGTACCACCAGTAGTTCAGTGTTCGCCAATGTAGCAAAGAAACAAAGTAACGTTGGGATAAGAAGGCATTACAATTGAAATGATCATGCTATTACATTTGACGAGGGTGAATGATGTCATGTGTTTTAAACATTTTTTTTTTTCAGAGGGCACGGTAACGAATCCTGCAATCTGGTTGGTTCTTTACCTGGTCAGTATTTTCTTATGTCTGCCCATGGGCCACGGTAACGCTTTCGTGAGTCGCCGAGTACATCCCAACTTTCGTTGCCATTTATCATAAATATATCTCGTTTTTCCGGCTGGGCAGTATTTTTAAGCAAACACGTCGGTCACTACCTCAAGCCAATAAATAACTTATGAATCCTCTGTTTTCTCTGTCTCAAATCACTTTGGTCGACAGAAAAATATTGGTTTCAGAATGAATTTGTATAAGCAATAGTGTCAATTACGTTGGTTAACAAGCGGCCTAAAAACCGTCTGCAGTTAATTTTAATCGTTCACAAAAAGTTCATAGAAAGTTAAAACGTGAAGTATTCGGTTACAGTTAAACTGAACGATGGAACTTTAATTCATTTAGTATCTGAATTTTCTCAAAAAATTTGTTCGTAGTAAAAAAGCGAGCGAAGTTTTAATTTAAGTTCTACAACAAATTTACGCTCTCGGTGAGTCTTTCCGAGTCCGTTCAAGTTGGACATTTGTACCGTAAATTGCACAATAGAAACTGAAGGAGTTTAACTAGAAAAGGCCGCATTCAATCCCCTTGTGTTTCGTTGGAGTGTGCCATTCGAATTTAGTTTTTGTGGAGGAAAGACCAGATTTACACACGCCATTGCAGCAAACGAACGAACAAACTCTCATAACTTCAAAATAAAAAAAATTGAATTTACTCACATATACTTTCCTCGCCGTTTACTTAATGAACAGAGGTAAATCTTCGTACATGAATGAATCGTCGATGAGAGTGAATAATACTTTCCGTTAGATCATTGACTGTTTTCGAAGAAAACATTGTCATGACAGTCCTAGCCAAACTAGTTCCGTTGTTTTTCAAGTGTTCTTGTGGGTTTTTCTTCTTATGTGCTCCCTAATTGACAGGTGTCAGATTATGACAGATACTTGTAAAAATAATGTTTCAAAGTTTGTTTGGAAGCCTTTTAAATCACCTTTATCTTTACGGAAATGAAAATGTTTCGGTGGGGCATCTCTCTTTAATTTGCATCACCTCTATAAAACTACCATTTACTCGCTCAAAAATTGTTCAGTTTATGAAAGACTTGCCGTATTTACAGCCCTAAATCATTCGGGTTCTTTCGGAAAGAATTTCGTCAAGTTTTAAAAAAAAAATATGTTATTTACCGGCTAAGGGTCGGTCCGTGTGGTGAAAAACTGTAACCTCGGTCTTGAAATGTTTTTCACCATACGGACCTCCCAGCCGGCAATAACATATATATATCATTTGTGTTTCTGGTTCAAAAGAAAAGGTTGGAAGTAAACGTGGGTGGAAAGTGAAATTTAGTGTCTATCATTGTAAATATTGGAAAATCAAGGCAATACTGTCTTAATGTCACTTGAGTGACATAACTAAGCCAAGACTGCCACCGTCATTTTGGATTTCCACCTGGGTAGATTTTGGTTACGTGCTAGGCAACGTATAATCAAGAACAAGATAGAATTTCATTTCAGGCCTATTTATCAATTTTGCGGTGTATAACTTTCGCACTATTTAGAATCTTCAAATTATCTTGAAACTTAAAAGAAAATTGTTCTTTAAAAATTCACTGGAAATCGGTAGCGAAAATTATTTGTTTAGGTGTTATTTGATTTTCGTGTTAACCTGTAATTTCGTCAGTCGCCGGCACTTGCTTCACACAGGAAAAACACACGATACGAAATGTAATAATCAATTTTGTCGCCAATCTCATGCCATAACAGAAAAAGCTTTTGAACACTTGTAAAACTCTGAGCGCTTCGGAGTAAGTGATATTTTCAATGAATCTTCGGATTGTTTTCAAGTTCAATGATTGTAAATTACAATGTTATGGTAAACGAAGGTTGTGCTCTTATTTCAGTGTGAATCCTCGCACGCCTGCCAGTCACTAGCGCCGCTTGTTGAAACTAAAACGAAAAAAAAACTCTTTTAAGATTATCATTGGCTTCTTTTTCACCTCAACACTATTCTTAACAACAAAGGTCGCCATTTCGTTTGTTTATTACTCGCCAAAAACTATCAAATCCACTCAAAAGTCTAAAATTGAAAAAAAGTTTACAGGAATCGACCAATCGAGCGAGCGAGCGAGTGCCATCCTCCCCATCATATCTACAACTCGCTCTTGCGCATGCGCGCAATTCATGAGTTATAAACGAAGATTGGTTATTCAAAATGTGAATCGTAAAAGTCATTATCAGTTATAAAGCAGTACGATTGATTGGCAAAGCTTACTAAAAACCCGATCTAAAACTGACATTAAGGCGTAAAAAATTCGCCAAAAAACCATCAGAACTAAGTGGGTGACAAAAAGTGTATTTCTTAGGGGAGAAGTCTTGCCTTTAATCCACGATGACATTTCTTGATCATTTAGTATCAAACATTTTCGTCTCCAGACTTGCTTCCATACTTCAAAAGTTCATTATCGGACAATTCAACCGAATGGTTAAACTCACTTCCAATGTGTTCAATGCTCTCATTCATTTTTTTTACTTTTTTTACCATATTATTGTCACGAATATTTTTTTTGTAAAATTGCTATAAAGGGCTGGCGATGCTGGGCGAATTTTTCCCAATCACTTCACTTTTGTGCATGAAAGAAACCCAGTTCTTCTTAACCCACTTTACGTCTGCGTCCAAAACTACACGACTGGAAATACTGAGATTTTTTGCCAGTAACACAATCACAGATTTAGAGTTCACTTTATTTTAAGCCTTGGGTTTTGGAAAAAGGCGAATTTTTCATGCTTTTTTTTTCTTCCCAAGATCAGATGAGTTGTTAGTTAGTTATTACAAGAACAGCCGTTTTAGTCCATACCTTTACAGCTTCTTTCAGATGTGGTAAAACGAAGCGCAACAATTTGAAGTCTTTATCTCTGTTGTTTTGTAGAGCATTTTTGCATACATCGCCTAGGCATTTGATCACGTGAGAGACATCGAGACACGACAGAGTAGGAGTGTTTATGTTACGTGGTTTGTTTTGCAAGAAGGGAAAGTTCAATACGTAAGTCCATGTCTCTTCTACGAAAATAAAGAAGGAGAAAAAATAAATGAATTAAATATTCCTACTGAGGGAAAATACGATTTATGAACACTAAGAGAGGATTAAGTGTGAGATGTCTTGAATAAAATTTGAAAGTATAAGTTGTTGTCAAAAAGGAGTAGAACAATTGGAACGTTAGAACAATACGCCACAAGAGGTAAATAGAGGGAATAATTTATATTTAGAATCTAAAAACCGTCATGAATAATCCTAAGAGAGGGTTGTGCCCCACTATAATCACTCCAAACATAAAATATTTTGGCTAAAGGTAATTGCCTTTATTCTCATATCCGTTCCAAAGTGTTAATGAAGTTAAGAGTTATTTACTCCAAGAGAACCCTTACTCAAAAAAGCGGAAGGTAATGAAGTCTCTAAGACGCAGGCGAGATTAGCGGCTTTCATTGCCTTCTAGGTTATCTTTGCTGAAACATAACGGTATTTTATTCGCGAAACTTCCGTTATTTCTTTAACTGGCAGACTTTCGGTTTTACAGCCATCACAAATGGAATTACTTTTTCAAGTCATCTTTGCACATTGTGTTAGCTTTTGCTTACATTATGTGACAGAGCTGAAATTAAGTGTTAGCTTACAACTAACCAGTATCACTTTGGCTTTGCCCATTTAGTATATCTCTGAGCAAGGTGTGGTCTCGTGGATGTATGGTTACCACATCAATTTCCTCTCTCTCAGAAAGATCAACAAATCTTTTTAAATTTTCTCGATCCAATGGACCTTCAATACCTCTCTCTAGAATTTCTAGGGGCAAATAGTTCTCACTTGAACAGCAGGCCAAGAATTTTAACAGCTAAGGATGAACGAGAGAACCAAACGTGTAAGTTATTTGAACACTGACTACCCGAAATATAGAAGAAAGACCGGTTCAACCATTAATCTAAGTATACCTCTCTAACATCGCAATTCTGGAACCTGGTTGTCAGGCTCTCCTTACTGCAAGATAAACTAAAAATATTTTTAGCTTACCTTCGTTTGATTTTTATTTGTTAGTTCCAGCATCATCAAATACTTGGGGAGTGTAACTTCTTCCGTTGGTACTGGTAAATTTTCAAAAGTTAGTTGTTCATTCGTCTCTTCTTGGTATTTCCTTATAGCATCTCCTAACCTGGTATTGGAACAATTAAAATTACAGATCTATAACCTCTAGAATGTTTTTTAAAGGGATGGTCTCTGATGAGTTCCCGTCTAACGTGAATTGATAATTCATGATTCTTTCTGATTAGTTGATTCATTGGTTGATGCTTGATTGTGGAGAGGATTATAAAGAAACTTTCAAGGTTCTAAACTCGATCACTCTAGCTTTAGCCTTTTTTTTTTAGGTAAAGGAACTCACTTTGCTATATTCTGGGGTATGCAATGTGTTACTTTTGCGAAGTGTTTAGCAACAGTGTAATGGACATCACTTATTTTCGCAAGAAATTTAGCTCTCACTTCTTCCTTCATTCTACCAATGAACACCTTCGCCAATGGATAGTCAACACCTTTCTCTTGCAACAACTTGCAATCTTCAGTAGTCATGATCACCAGACCATTTCCAAGGCTTGGATCACCTGGCGCCGGCCAAAATTGTTGTCGACTTGACTTTTCTTCTTTAGCACCTTCTATCAATAGCACCCAGGAACCTTGCCTTCTCAGGGTCTTCATAACTTCTTCGTAAATGTGTTTCAAAACGTAGACATTTTCTTCGAATGGATTTTGAAGATTCATGTGGTATTGTCTTCCCTCTGATGTGAGAAGTGATAGTTCCTGATTTGCAGCCTTGGCCTGTTCAGTCAGACCGATTTCTTTGGCAAGACTACAGAAACTTTCGAGCATCGTTGCTTCATTTGTTGCGTTGATTGTCCACAGGATTGTTGGTCTGTTTCGAAAATTCCATGGTTTGTTCCAGAAGAATCGCGAGCGTACAGGTTTAGTGTAAAGTTGATCCATCAGATTTGCCGCACAGTGCTTTTTACCGTGTCCTGTTGGCCCATGTAAAATCAGGGTCTTCACGCGCGAGGAATTGCCATATTTGCAAAGGCGTTTCAAGGTATTCATAACTTCTTTTTCTTCTTTTCGCTGATAAAATCCACGACGAGATGGAATCCTGACAGCATCAACTTTTCTTGGAAATCGGTGTCTGATTAGTTCAATGAATTTGTAACTCACTTTCAAAAACTCGAGCTTCGACCTCATCTTGTTTTCCTGAAAGTAAATTTTTATTCAATCTATTTTTAGTTACGCAATTCATTCGAGAGCACGGCTAGAGTATAGCTGCTAATTTGATCCTTTTCTACTTTCACCAAATATTATGGTGTATGAATCATTTACGAAGTGAATTTCATCGAGTTCTCAGCTCCTGCTTTAATGGTCTCGCGGTTATTCTTTTAATTTCTGTTTTTATTTTGTTTTTTTTTCTTTGTGACTTACTTGAACACTTGGCTCGGTGTAAACGTCACGAGTATTGTGAAAAAGGAAAATCGAATGTTTTAGATCGTGCATGTATGATGACCATTCCTTAAAGAATGTAAAGACTTAAGGGTAATCCTTGACTATTACTGATACAATGTTCCATTTTTTGGAATAACGCAGGATGTAATCCTTTGTTTCACAGCTATTTAGTTTTCACCCACTTTCCATATTTTTCTCTCCTGGACCGCTTTAATCTCTTTTTTATTTCAATTTTTTTAGAGAGATATAAGCGCCCTGTCGAAATATTTCAGACATTCAATTTGTGACCATATTGTGTTGTAAATACTGTCACAACAGGTCAGTAATGAGTTTCAATGATGATGTCACTTCCAGTCTCATTTTTCTGCTTTCATTTGGACAATTTATGGAATCATTTTCTTCGCCAAATTAGGAGTTTCTTTTGTGCTATAAAATCCAAAGGGATGCGTAAATGTAGCGAAAGGAAAACTAGCTTCGGTATTCATAGACGGATTGCATTTACATGCGTATCGAAAGAAATAACCGTGACACAATCGCTCTAAGTGTTAGTCAAAACATGAATTAATTCCAAAGAGAAATTTTCAATAGATTCCTCGTTGGTAACCTCAATCTTCGTAAATATATATAGAGTACCATTTGACGGTATATAAGCCAATGGCCTAAAATGACGTGTCGTTGGCTGCTCAGTCAAGCTGGTCCACTCAAGGTTCCAATATGAACATTTTAATCTTACAACTCGGGACAGTTGAGACAGAAGCAAAAATTCATGCACAAGGGAGTATTTTCTTGCGACAACTACATGTTTCGAATATTTTATATGTGCGAAGATTTTATTCATTTCACACTCACGCATTTACAACAACATCTATAGTTATATGGAATTTACTCTAGAGTTATGCCAGTGGGACAGATTGTAAATTAAAGAACAATATAAGCGACAGGCCAATTTCAGCTAAAAACACGTCGACAGAGCTGGTATCTTTGTAAACAGCGATTTGTTTGTTTAGCATTCGAGAAAAATAAACTCAAAAACTTTACCTAAAACGAAGGTTTATTCACTTAAAAATAAAGATAGGGTAATTTTAAAGTTAAAATTGATATATTTAAATGAATCAAAACAGACGTAGAGACCGAACACGTCGAGTTTTGTCCCAATAGCGTGTAATTTGCAGCAGGAGTACAGCAAGAAAATGGCCGAACTCCGTGAAAATGCACGCTATTTATTTTGGTCTGGCGCGCCCGCTTTTCGCGGGCCAAAGATAATATTTTTACATGATAAACACCAAGAATTGCTCGTTGAAAAAAGCTCTTTTATTCTATGTACATTCGTAACCCCCGATGTTATGGTCGTCTGAAATATGGTAAAATTCAGCGTACAAACGGAGTAGAAAATATAGTGTACTTTACGCGGGTGGTTACAAACGAAAGAAAGTTCAGTTGGAGATGAAATATAGTTGCAAAGCTACTCCAAGGGATGAAAAACAACTTATAAAAAAATGAATCCAAGATAATTTTTCGTTGTCTTGTACGAGCGTTGTGAAAATGCACTGAGAGCCCGATAGAAAAACAGTTCACTAAAAGGGTCTTTTGGAGCAAATAAAAAAGTTGAATTTTTGCTTCTCTTGCCGGATTCTTGAAAATTACTGACAACCTCTCCTAAATGAACACGTGTTGTAATAATTGTGATCTAACAGACGGATTGGGTGAATATCACAGATGGAAACTGAAAGCTTCTCCGTGAGAGAGCGAAATAGTCCGATGGTATTTACACGTTAGACATCATTGCACTCTTGATATCGTCATGGAATCATCATGCAAACTGTTGCACTGTAAGCAAATTTGGGGCCATGTATTATATATTTCATGTACCGTATATTTCAGTCCATTTACCCGTGCGGCAAATAACCCGCATCGATCAATTTTTGCAACAACGAGAAAAAAATTTCAACAGATAACCCGCACCGAGTTGGAGGCGAGGCGTCATGGCTGACGGTCACTCATTTCGATTCTCCGGTTTTCTTTGTTTTATTCTCAGTTTAATTCTTCTATATCGCGGAAAAACGACTGATCAGGGCCAATCTCAAATGTTCCCGCGTTTAGCTGACGATTTCTTCTTGGTTCTACAAGATGATTTTGTAGTTTCAATGAACTTAAATATCTTCACAGCGTCCTGGACTAGGCGACATATTGTTTTGCCAATCCTTCGAAGAGGTTTTTCTTCGTCAAGAATCAGTTATTATCCTAACTCTGTTGCAAGTTACCAAACTATTCTTCTCCAGTTGAGCGGCGACGTAAACCCAAATCCTGGTCCAAATGGAGCCGAGCGGCACAATTTTACGGAACAGCAAAAGTCCTCTCGTCTTCTAACCTTTTATGCTAATGCACGAAGCATCGTCAACAAATCAAGCAAATTGGATTTAGCCATTGCCGCTCTGGGCTATGATATAATTGTTTTAACTGAAACTCATCTGGACAGCTCCATCCCTGACGGTGAAATCTTTCCTAGTAACTACTCGGTATTTAGGCGGGACCGAAAGCTCAATGGACGTCATGGAGGCGGGGTATTGATTGCTACGCGAGAACACATCAAAGCGGTTCCCCGTGATACTACACAGAACGATTCAGAGTTCATCTTCGTCGATCTTCTTTTCTCATACAATCGCAAAGTCACTTTGGGAGTTTTCTATCGTCCTCCCAATAACGATCCTAAGCCTTTAGAGGACTTACAAGCTGTTTTGCAAGAGTTTTCGACGAACGAGTTGATTCTTGTTGGCGATTTCAATCTTCCGGAGATTGATTGGTTGAATAACAGATTCTTGCGTCAATCTGATATTTACACACTCATGATGGACATCGTCCAAGACAATTTTTTTGACACAGTTGATAAATGAACCTACCAGAGACTCGAACATCCTAGACTTAGTTCTCACTACTTCGCCCGACCTCGTAAACCATTTGGTTGTTGGAGAACCCTTTTCAGATCACAATTCTATCTCCTTCTCGTTATCTGGTATACCTTACGTCCAGCGTAAATCACAGAAGTTGTTGTATTGCTATGGTAAAGCCGACTGGGATCACTTAAGATCGCTGTTATCTTATATTCCATGGCATTGCGCCTTCTTCGACAGCGATATTAATCATAATTGGGCTTGCTGGAAAGACTTGTTATTTACAGCAGTGGATGAGTGCATTCCCAAACGCAAGAATAAAAAGAGATCCAGTGCCCCTGGATTACACAGGAACTTATTGTTTTGTGCAAAAAGAAGAAATTATTGTATAATAGAGCTCGCAGAAAAAAACAATTCAACTATTTGGGAAAAATATCGGCAACTCAACAATTCTGTTAAGAGACTTTGTAACACAGCTAGATGGTCGTATATAAAGAAACTTGCACTTGATCTACAGGAAAATGAAAACCCGAAACCTTTCTGGAATTTTGTTAAGTCCAAGAGAAGAGGCACTAATAATCTCATCTCTATAAGCGTCGATGGATGTGCTCTGACTGACGACTTCAGTATTGCTCAGAGTATGAACTCATATTTCTCTTCGGTGTTTACTACCGAAGATTATGCAAATTTTCCCCACTCAAGACTGCACTGTTGACAAGAAACTTGCGAAAATTGATTGTTCTGTCAATGAGGTCAAACGCCATCTTCTGAAACTCAAGCCCAACAAGTCTCCTGGGCCTGACCATATCGCGCCGTGCATTTTTAAGTCGTGTGCTTCGGAATTAGCACCTTCGTTAACGTATATGATAAACAAATCGTTGTCTCTTGGCCTTTTGCCTGAGGAATGGAAACATGCCGACATTACTCCTCTACATAAGAAGGGTTCCAAATCTTCGAGAGAAAATTACCGCCCAATTTCCCTTACTTCAATTGCTTGTAAGATCTGTGAAAAAATTGTTTTTGATAGGATGATTAAGTTCTGGCGCGAAATCGACTTTATCAATAGCAACCAATTTGGCTTTTTTACGAGGAAGATCTACTACAACTCAAATGTTATCAACGTTTAATGACTGGGCGAAATCCGTAATTCATCCACTCCTACCGATGTTGTTTTTCTGGATCTTGCCAAAGCCTTCGACAGCGTTCCTCATGAGCGACTGCTTTTAAAATTGAAATGTAGCGGCATCGACGAATGTTTACTCAACTGGCTGAGACATTTTTTGGTGGGGCGCAAACAACGTGTAGTCGTTAGGGGATCTTATTCTGATTGGTCGTGCGTTACCTCCGAACTCCACAGGGAACCATTCTCAGGCCCCTATTGTTTTTATTGTATATTAATGACATATCTGAATTCTTATCATCTACAGTAAAATTATATGCAGACGACACGAAGATCTACAGAGAGATAATTGACCCTATAAAAGATAGTCAGCTTCTTCAGGATGATCTTAATAATCTTAGCGCATGGGCTCGTAAGTGGCAGCTACGTTTCAACGCAGACAAATGCGAATCTATGCGAATCACGCATTTACGCGATAAGTCGGTAACTAATTATTTCTTAGAAAAGCCCCTGAAAGACGTGACTAATTTTAAAGATCTCGGTGTCACACTAACTAGAGATCTTTCATGGGGCCATCACATAAAGTATCACTGTCAATAAAGCGAACAAAGTTTTAGGTTCCATTAAACGCTCAGTAGGCACCGCTAACACAAATGTTTTTCTATGCTGTACATGTCTCTGGTACGGCCAATCTTGGAATATGCGGTACCTGTTTGGTGTCCTTACCTTGTTAAGGA